GGAAAAAAGGTGCATCTTATACTCCAAAAATACGGTAACCAACAGGGTAGGCTCATACATGATAATTTGCAGAACAATTTTATAAATCATCACATTGTGGAAACCCCATTCTATGTGATAAACGTATGGTCTAATCCTAATCAAGTGTAATCATTTGTCCTCTATATTACTCTTGGTTAGGATTAAATTCATTTGTATTTGTTAAAAACAGATATGAACACAGCCACAGTATCTGGTTTTCCCTGCTCTATTGTTGAGTTACTGGCTTCACTGGGTATTTGGATTTTAGTTGTGATTACTATTTGTTTTATATTAAAACATCTCACTCAAATTTTCTTTCAGAGGTACCATTATACTGACTCAAACAAATAAAAACAGCATGCAGAAGATAGAAAGTAGGGATAGAAGGTAAGAATGGAAGATTGGCGAAATACAGAAATAGAGCAAGCCACCCATAGACAAATGCTCAGAGAGATGGGCACAATTCAAATTGTTACTGACAATTCACTGCCATGAAACATCACCGATGCCTATGTGTAACAGAGTGCCCGCATATTGTGGAAGGGTAAAAAGTCTGACCACCACCTTATCACATGAACAATCAAAACCAATCCCCTTTCCAGTCAAGGCCTTACCTCCCAGTGGATCCACTTGTATTGAGACAGGTCAACTTTTTCAAAATCAGCAGCTGTCACATCTGGCAGATTACTGCAATTGGGAGAATGGGAATGGGAATGAGAAGAGGAAGACAAAAGTTTAATTAATGCAACAAACTGATTTCTTGTCCATCTTAAATCAGTGAAGCGGTAAGCAAATGCATACTTACAATTAAACAAAACGGGAAACAAAACACCTATTGACTTGTTAAGCTCAGTGTATCCTGCGTAGCATCCTGTTTTCTTAGCACCAAACCAAATAATCTAGCCAATCCAAAGGGGACAGGAATTGTTTTCTTATTGCTTGTCCCGAGTTTCCAATGAATAAACATATTACCTCTGAATATGGTGATTCAGTTATATGCAGAACTGATTTTGCAAGCTTAAAGTTAATTTCACCTCCTACTGGGAGCAATTCCAAAGTACTTTGGAGCTGCTTTGAGCTTCACATCCAAAAGCTGCACAGGCAGCCATCCCACGTAAGAATGTCTCTATAACTTCATTCCTTTCCCACAAATTTGACAAAAAGACATATGAAGAAATCTCTTGGTAGATGTATCACATACAATTGGTATGGAATTTATTTACTTTAGAGCCGTACCTAGGCATCTAACTGAGCCATAATAAATTATAATATGCCAACCTCTTTCTTGATTTCCATAACAATCTGAATTTGGAGCCATTGCTTGAGGTTAAATTGTAATGTACTGAGAATAAAGAAAGCAGACAGTACTGTATATACATATAGACTGAAATACATTATCATAGAAAACAATGATGGCCATCAGTCTATACCAGGGATAGGCAACCTTTTTATACCTACCGCCCACTTTTGTATCTCTATTAGTAGTAAAATTTTCTAACTGCCCACCAGTTCCACAGTAATGGTGATTTATAAAGTAGGGAAGTAACTTTACTTTATAAAATTTATAAAGCAGAGTTACAGCAAACCCCTACCGCCCACCATGAAAGCTGGAATGCCCACTAGAGGGCGGTAGGGACCAGATTGACTACCACTGGTCTATACAGTGTTAAAAAATACAAAATAAACATAAGGAAAAAAGGCTAATCCCAACTGCTTACTAAGTCTGCAATAATTGCACATTTAGTCCTAATAGGCTATTCAGTAACAGTGAGATTGACCTGCTTACCCTTGTTCTGAGTCTATGGACTCTCCTGGACTGTCCCTCCTTTGCTTAAGCCAGTGGTTCCCAAACTTGGCAACTTTAAGACTTGTAGACTTCTGGGAGTTGAAGTCCACAAGTCTTAAAGTTGCCAAGTTTGGGAACCACTGGCTTAAGCTATTGTGGCGGGAAAAGAATGCTTGACTAGAATTGAGTTTGATCCTCTGTTCTCAATTTGTTCTTTTTATTTCATAGCTCCCTCATTTCGAAAACATTGTCTAAGCACTAGTAGGACATACTCAAGAGCTTCATCTGGAGATATTCAGCATGGAAACGGATGGCATTTAATTCTCAGTCCTCATTTTTATGGATTAACTGTACCTGGAATGGATTTGATTTTAATGATTAACCCACTAGCCCAGGAGACACAGAGACTGCTTTGATCAAAGGCCACAAGAATCATATTCAGAAAGATGGGCCTTCTGCATGTCCCCAAATGATTAACCAGCCCTTGACACTCTATTGGTAATGGGAGACAGAAAGCTGCACACTTTCCACTATTGAGAAAAGCTACAGTAAGGGGTGGGGGTGTCACATAAGCTTTTGTGTATATTTTTTATTTGTTCTTTCATTCAATTTGCCTAGCCACCCATCTGCACAAGTCTCTCTGAGTAGCAAACAATCTTAAATTAAAAACAATTCAACACCCAGTTACCCTAAGGCCATGATGGCGAACCATGTCGCCTGGCATGCATGGCGTTGCCCATTCTTCTTTCAGGTTTCTTGTGTGCATGCGCACGTGATGATCAGCTGTTTTTTGTATGTGCAAAAGGCATACGGAAACCGAAAGAGCTGGTCTGTGCACATTTGCGCTGGTCAGCTGATCGTCGCACACTCATGCGTGCCAGTATGCGGAAGACAAGCTGGCCAGTGTGCAGGCATGTGCTGAAAACTGGAAGTTCAATTCCTGGCACGCGCATGCCCACTTGGAAGCTTGTCTTCCATGACGCGCCCCTGATGAGTGTGTGTGTGCATGCGCTCCCTTTTCAGCAGTCGGTGCCAGAAAGGTTCGCCATCACTGCTCTATGGTAAGATGGGCAGCCAATAAATTTTATAAATAAATAAATACATTCCCATCACAAGTATAAAAACTAAAATACACAGTAGGAAAATATCACAATTGATAGTTGCTAACACAGCCAGGAGACAAGAGCCTTCAGACACTTGGCTCTCCCCAAGCCAGATGTTGAAACAGGACTTTAGTTCTTTATGAAAAGCCAGCAGGGCCCTGGAGGGAGAATATAGCCACAATATGGAGCTTGGTTGTAGACACAAAACACACTTAATTTGATCAGATAAGGATCAGTACATAGAAAGATACAAACTTGATATAGGTTATTCTCGGTGATTTATTTTATTTTTCTAGTTGTGCAGACCTAGCCTGTAGGAATGCTGTAGTTAATTCTTGTATCCCCTCATGACTGATTTGTCCAGCCTACATCTCACCTGCTGTTGTCAAAAGCCCAGGTTCTTTCTTGCTGTGAGTTGGTGGGAGTCACACTTGAATTTCTCACTCAAAGCTTCTTGGGGAAGGGGAAGGTCACAACCATATTTGGAAAGGATAATCAAGAATTAATATTGGTAATATTGGTGATTGGCAGCAATCTGGACTAAATTAGCAATTGACCGAGAATTAATAATAAATCAGATTTTAATAGCTCATGCATGGATGTTTTTATTCCTCTCCCATTGGGTGGCACCTTTAGAGGAATTGGACAGGCATTTTAAGTCCTATTTTGACCTGCTCAAGCAACTCTTATTTTCCCCAAAAAATTCAAACAAGAGCTATATTAATTCCTATGTGGTCTAAGGAATAAAGAACTGGCTATGCTATTTCTTAACAAAGCTATAACCATTGTGATCCTGCTCTGAACATAGAGAGGAGAATCTATTCATTTACTGGCTGTTAATTCTCTGATGAGGAGGGGGTAGTTTTAATATATCTTCCTGTTATCTTGATTGATTTTAAAAGACCAAGTCATGTTCTTTGGGGTATCAAGCTGACCCATAAGTGTAACCTAGTCAGGGGAAAAACATCCTAGAAGAAAGCAATAGGAAAGAACTGTCATTCTCCTTACAAACACACAATAAAAACAAGTGACTGTATTTAGCACTAGCATTAACTTCAGTATGAGTCTTTAATAGCTTAGCATATTGTACAAATCCACTATATCTAGCTAGTTTATAATACAGTGCATTGCGTCAATCCATGGGTTGAAAATAGGTTGATTCAGTAATCTGGTTAAGTGATGCGTGAATGTTGTGTAGGTGTTAAAAGTCTTGGTAGGTAAAAAAGTCAAGTTATTAATATTTGATAACCAGCTTGATAATTATTCCGTATGCACTTTGGAAGTACAAAGTGCTTTTTAATTTATATCCAGGTCCTCAAATGCAATCAAACATTNGGCAAGTTGTTCCACTGATTAATTGTTCTAACTGTCAGGAAATTTCTCCTGGGTTCTAAGTTGCTTCTCTTAGTTCTCTTATAAATAATGGCAAGGGGCACTTTCAGGTTTGCAAGATTGTGTTATAAGTAGTCCTTGACTTAGGACCACAATTGGGACCAGAATTTCCATTCCTAAGTAAGGCAGTTGTAGAGTTGTGCTGGATTTTACAACCTTTTTGCTACTGTTAAGCAAATCACTGCAATTGTTAAGTGAAACATGCAGGCAATGAATGAATCCACTTCTTCACATTGACTTTGTTGTTGGAAGCTGGCTGGGAAGGCCACAAAAGATGATTATATGATCCCAGGGTCATACGCAGCCATCATAAATACATGCCAGTTGCCAATTGCCCAAATTTTGATCAAATGTCCATGGGGATGCTATGACAGTTGTATGACAATTGTAAGTACAAGAACCGGTTGTGAGTCACTTTTTTTCAGTGCCTTTGTAACTTTGACCGGTCCCTAAACAAAAAGTTGTAAGTCAAGCACTACCTGTACTATAAGCCTTTAATAAAAGTAGCACTAGTTTTCTAGTCTGGTCTGCTGTGAAGATTGACATCTGCTATGCTTTAGCTTAAATCCATTGTTCCACATCCTGCACCCCGATACAGTGGAGAATAGCTCCCATCAGTAGCTTGCACTAGGAGTAGTGTTGGCCTCTGCTATTTTTTGGTTCACTATGCATTCCTTCTCCATTCCGATTCTTTCTAGCGCTCTTGCTTCTCTTTGCTCTTCATGACTATGACAAAAGTGGGCACTTGGATGGTCTGGAATTCATGAGACTGCTGAATGAATTGGTGTCCCAACAGGCAAAAGGACAGCCTGCACCAGACATGGTAGGCACATTTTATTCCTCAGACTCTGGTTAGGTTGGCACCTTTGCCAACTCTTTTTTTAAACAATTTTTATTAAACTACGATTAAAGATAAAAACTAATGCAAAAAAATAAATAAATAGAAAGTGTAAAAAAGAAGAAACAAAATAGAAATAAATTTAAAACCATAAGAATATAGAAGAGAAAAAAATACTATATGAACAAATGACTTCCCCCTTCATCATAACAAGTATAAACAGTTTTAGTAAGTTATCACCTTCTTTTAAGATACAATAAATGGTATCTTCCCATATTGATCTCTTACCTATATACAAATCCTTAAAACCTCATCATTCATTCCTGAACCACAAACATCCAAGAAGTATTACCGGAGTTATTATTTGGTTATCTGTTTTTTACTTTGATCAAATAAATCAACTTTATGTCCCTTCCTTTTACTTTAAACAGTCACAATCTTTAATCCCTTCAAATAATGTCATAGAACTTGATTTCTTATTATTTTGCTTTGTCACCTCACAAAACTTTAATAGGTTTCTTGTAAACCTAACATAGCAAAATTATTCAAATCATACTTTTGGTTATGTTATCTGTTTATTCATTTTAATCATTAAGGTATCAGCTGGTGTCATCTGCATTTCCAGTGCAGCATCATTTTCCATATCATTTTTTGTAGCCTCTCATCTTCAAATCCACTTTCAAATCAGTTTCAGTTTTGGTCTTGTCTGGTAAAATTTCTTCCTCTTACTCTTTTGGATCCATTATTCACTAATGTCCCTCAGTATGTCTTGTGTCAAAGTATTGCTCTACTCTAAATTAGCTCATCAAATGTAAATGTTCTTCTCCTTTAATTATAATCTTTAGTTCTTTCTGGGTCTAGTGTCCAACCTTCAAAGTCCCATCCTATCAAGGGTTATTTACAATTCAAAATAACAGCATGTTCCAATGGAAAAGTTATAATTAATTTTAAAATCTTATATCAAAGCTATCTGAACTCTTAATCCATTTGTGATTTTTTCCAAAAACCATGTTCTAATCACCCTTTTGCTGCTTATTCCATATTTTTTAAAGCTTGTATGTACTTAAAACTTTTGTGAAGGATTGAAGGAAGCTCACCTGGTGCTATAAAACATGCCAAACCATTGGCTCCTAATAGCTGAAAAGCAGTTAAGCAGTTTCCAAAAAATATTAAGAAATAAGACTTAATGGACTTTGTGTCCACATAGGGTCTATTACAGCTGTGAGTTTGATTGAAATCCCTCAACTCACAAGCACTTAAGTCATAAGTCAACCATAAAATGTCAGTTCCTACACCCTATTTACAAGGAGCCACTGTCTGGATTACAAGTAAGCAATTTTACAATCTCTCCTTTCTCCAAAGAGACTTCACTGGCCAGAATTTGTTGCTTGGCAACCTATCTCCTTTGCAATGCCATCACACTTTTATTGGGATGACTAGTTCGCCATGGATCCTCACCAGAAATCCCTACATTTTTACCAACTCTTGAGTAACACAAGAGTTGCCTCTAGCTGTTCTCACTCTTTGTCTGGTTGAGCCTTATCTGAATCCCTGTATTCAGTAGGGTTTTTTTTGTGTCCATTCTCAGAGATTGCTTGAACAAATCCCAGTAGTTTTCTTGGCAAGGTTTTTCAGAAGTGGTTTGCCTTTCTTCCTAGGGCTGAGTAAAAATCACTGGCCCAAGGTCCCCCCGAAATCAGATTTCTAGCCCGATGCTTTAACCACGATACCAGACTGGCTCTCTCTCTCTCTCTCTCAGTAGATAATAAGCTGGAAATTGTGCACGCCTGTTTCTATTCGAAAAATATCTTGTTGGCTATGATAGGAAAAGGAAGCTAAAGTAGACATGGCTTATCCAGCTCAATTTTTTTAATCTTTCTTTTGTCTATAGAAGATGTGAGTTACATTGTTCCTTATCTTAAATTTATGTTGATAATTGGAAAGCTTTCTTGAGTCCCTCTACAATTCTCCTTTCAGGTAGTGCCAATGGTGGACAGTATCTTGGAGACTCAGGACTTCAACTGGGATGGACTATTGGAGCCTTTAGAGTTGTTTCTTCCTCCCCGGCAGGGAGAGACACCAAACTTCCTTACTGCTGACAGTGAAGAAGATGGTCAGGTCTTGTGGGCACTTCCTAAGCCGAATGGCTTCCCAAGTCCCTCTGACCAACAAAGCGATGGAGACTCCCCACCTGCACCAGAAGTTCAGGAACAAGACATGATGGGTGACCAATTGTGGAGCCTGGAGAAGCATGGGGGAGAGCTCGGCCAGGAAACCGCAGGAGACCCAGATCAACAAGGGAAAGAGATGCCTTCTGCTCCAGGAGATTGAAATACACCCTGTACATACTTTAGATGATTAGCCAAGAAATGAGAACTGGAGGCGAATTTCAGGTCAATTTCAGAAATGGAATGCAGATAATCAACCCTTTCCCAACATTTCCTTCTGAGCAAACTATTCTGGGTTTCCAAGTCTTCTCTACCAAAGCAAAACAGAATAAGATTCCCTGTTCAGTCAGCTCTGCACCCTGTTATCTAAAGAGATCCCTTTTCCAACTTTCAAGGGATACATACCCCAGATCTAAAACTTGAGAAACAGAAGTCACAGTGGCTCCACTTTCTCCTCAGCACACCTGAGTGCATCATTCAGACATGGAAACCTCTTCCCTCCCTCCCCCAGTACCCAGGACCACAGCCTTTCCAGGAGGTGAGGCTACGTAGGTAGGAAAGATTTCTCTAAACTGAAAAGCCTGCCTCAGCCGGTTGTCTTCCTCAATAGTCTCTCTCTTCACAGAGCAGGCTCCCGATTCTAGAGGGTCTATTTAGGGTCCCTTGCTCTGCCTTCCTCAAGTAAGAAGCTCTTGCACAGAGACAGGACAGAACTTACAATTATAATTTCCCAGTCTGGCCAAGGATTTATCTGTGCATTTCAGATGACCATTCTCTCAGCAGGTTCCTTTGGGGAAAAGCTTATCCAACACTGCAGAAGGCATCATGTATATCGTTTGCCGTGGCATTTAAATTAGACTGCCCATCTCATAAAAGTGAAATTAAAAGGAAAACCACAACCCATGATTTCCAAGGTTAAACTGGTAAATTCCAATCACAAAAGAACACGTCAGCAAAGCTCACCCAACCTCCTGGTTCAAATCCTAGGGAAACAGCCAGAGATGTGTACGCTTCTCCTGTACTTCTCTTTTTTCAAATCTGCCAATAAATCATCTTCAAACTGAATATGCTTCTGGACTATACAGGAAGAGGAATCTTAGCGGCTTAGAGAGGCAAGGAGGAACTTCCCTTACGGGGTAGGAGAGCTAATAATCATAGTATCTGGCAAAGAGGAAAACTTCAAGGAAATGTGCAAACTTCATCAGACTGGGCAACTACCGTGTTTCCCCAAAAATAAGACAGGGTCTTTTGACCTCCGAAATATGGCCTTGGCCTTATTATCGGGGCAAGGNCTGAACTCGATGCATCAATAAACCTGTTTCTCTTGCACCTTCGTGATCTCATGTCCCGTTTTTCTTGAGCATTGTGGCGAAAGCCTGCAACAAAATGAACTCTGACATTGTATGAACTTTACGGTCAGTGATGGATTAAGGCTCACCGGTGTCGTAGCACTGACAAATCTTGGTGCTCATCCTTTGTACAAATCTTCATTGGTTTTTTTCCCCCTTTCCCAACTTTGTGGTGCCCCCTTTGGGCCTGGTACCCTAAGCAACTGCTTAGCCTGCTTAATGGTTAATACACCACTGTTTATGGTGACTTCATAACAGAGTTCATGCTGGTATATCACTGTCTCCTTTCTGTCACAACCAAATAACAGCCCAGTTTATATTTGCATAACATGTAGTTTGTTTACTGAATTAATCCAATTCTCTTGATTTGCACAATAAACTATAAATGACTAGGTTTATTAAAAAAAAATAAGCCACAAAATAGCCCACAAAACTTAGTGTGTTGTGAAAACAGGGTCCACCTATGATGCAAATCCATTACAATTTTCTCAATTCCAGGCAAGGAGCCACATCAGTGGACATATATCTATATATCTATATCTGCAAAACACTTTAAATTGGATACTGAGAAGGAGAAATATTTATAGACTGTGGGGCCAGTCACTTTGTCTCAACCCTAGGAAGGAGGAACTGGCAAACCACTTCTGAAAAACCTTGCCAAGAAAACTGGGGAGTCTTCTCTAGGCAGTCTCTGGGCATGATTGAATGGGGGGAGGGAGGGAAGAGTAGTAAGATGGGATGTAAGTGCACAAAATAAATATATTTTTCATAAAGTGAAGACATACACATCTGCCCTTCCCCTTCTGGTTTTGTGTGTGTGTGTGTATTAGTCACAACCCTCTCTCTATATTCAGCTGGCACTTACTTTGCAGCATGACCAGGAGCTAACGAACCCATAAAAGCACAAGGGGCTCCCAGCAGGGCCAGGACGGTACAGGTGTTGGAGGCGTTCCCTCCACGTTGCCAGCGCTGCGACAAACATCTGGAAAGAAGCACAGCCAACAGCAGCCTCAGCGTCCCATTCTGACAGGCCCTCTGGGCAGCCAAGTATCCGGGACTCCGGCAAGGGATCGAACTGAGCCGCAACACTTCAGAGCTCTGCATTGACTGCAGTTTCTTCGAAGATCATGAAACGGACAGAAAGGCTGATTCGGGACGCAAAGACAACATCTCCGCCCTCCTTCCCCCACCCCACCCCCGGAACCTGTTCCGCCAGCTACGAGCGCTCTGAGCCTCGGCCGGGGAAACCGAGCCTCCAATTCCCCNAACCCCCCCTCTCCAACCAGGCAGAGTGCCAGAGTGGTATCCCAAAGGCGCCAAGCTGAGTGAGCACCGTCCCGTCCCCCCCGCTTGCATGGCTTGGCGCCTTCAGGATACCGCTGGGTCGGTGAGTGGTGCTCTGCCTGGCTGGAGGGGTGGTGGTTGTCCACTGGGCTTATTTTCGGGGGAGGGCATATATTTTTGCCCACCCCAAAAAATCTGGCATGGCCTTATTTTCAGGACATGTCATATTTTCAGGGAAACACGGTAGCTGTTTGTACTGTGTTTTCCCTCACATATCTTCAGCAGGAGGAGAAGCAGGATCAATAGTGGGAGGGGTTGTTCTGGCTGTTGTTGGGTGGCATGGATTAGCATTCTCCTCTGCTACTTTACTGAAGTCTTTTAAATCGTTCCTAGCCTTGGTGTACAAAATAGCAACAAGTGCCTCAGCAGCATCTTCATTCCATGTCCTCTCTCCTCTCATGACTTCTGGCACTCCTGGATCTGGTTGGCTGAAGCACAGCCAATCCCTTTCCTTCAAGGCCCGCTTGTGTACGTGTGTGTGTCCATGTGCACGCACACAAACTGGATAATTATTTTTCATAATTATCCTTGACTGGATAAAGAATCAAGAGCAATCAGCAGCTTCAGGTATTTTATTTATCTTTTCATGGTTATACAGCGAAACCTCTTTTCCTCCTGGCAAGAGACGGGAGCATCTGAGCCAGCTCAGCCAGACTCCATATGGAATGTGTGGCAGGCAGCTTGACATGTCCTCCCACCTGCAGGAGATGCCAGAGGAGCCGTGCCAGTGCCATCAGCAAATAGAATACTACAGTGAGAGATACAGTATTAGTCCATGGTCCAGTGAAATCTAGAAGGTACAGTTTTCTGCATGTTGCTCAAACGATCCCATCATACCCGTGAACCCCACACTTCCGGCCTGCCACCTGGCATCCATAGGTTAATGCTGCAGGGAGTGTTTTTCCTGCCACAGAAAATGAGAAATCAGATTAGCTTTAGGACCGATGGGCAAAATTGCTGTTCTTTAAAGTGCAGGAGATGGAAGGATGGCGGTCAGGAGTTTCCTCGCCTTTCATATCTGCTTCTTGATGCTGTGGTTTGTTTGTTCAGCTTAAAAGTATTCTGTACAGAAGCAATTGCAAAGTGTTCTGCCATTCATGTTATGCCTACAGGAAAACGAGAAGCACTCAGAACTTACCCTTGCTTAGAGCCAGGATCACAGCAGCGTTGAATGTGTCTCCAGCCCCCAGTGTGTCCACAACAGTTTCAGGGGAGAATGCGTCTGAATGCACCAGCAGCCCATCTGGTCCCATTGCGTCAGCTCCACACTCAGCCCAAGCACAGATCAAAGTAGCTCTAGAAATGGAATACAGAAACTAACCTATGTAGTGTTTTGGATTCATCAAATGAATAAATCCAAATTACTACACAAGCAGGCAGATGCGTGAATGTATTCCCTCATCTGCAATATTCCAAACCAAGTAAAGATGCTTCCAGGTGTTGCTAAAAGGTGGTACATTTTTACACCTGTCTGCTCCATAGTATTTTGGCAGGACTGAATCCAAAGCACTGGACTGCACTAATAGATATTTTCCTCCTTATTCCATACAAAACATTCTCTGTTCCGGCTATTTGGGACCTCAACAGCAAATCTGAAGGAGTGTGAGTTACTGCTAGAGACTTTGCCATATAACTGGGGAGGCTGACTCTGTGGATTTTCCACTCACTCTAATAATGTGCCAGGGCAAAAAGCTGAATCTGTCTTGGCTTTCTTTTCAGCTCTCAAAAGGGAGGTCTGTACACCTCAGCCTTTGGCCTAAATAGAAAGAAAGAAAGGATAGACCTTAAGGGAACACTAGATAGGAAGGTGTGATATAAATCCAATCAATGCGGTATTAAACGAATTGTGCTTCTGATATCAGATTGCTAACCAAAGCAAAAGATAGTATCCTGAATTGTGCTATCGCACATGCAATAAGCGTTTAATCTGATTTGGGCGTATTGGCTTGTAGCACCAATTCAACCATGATCAGTACAGTTCTGGCTTAGCATGGTATGAAGCCAGCCTATTTTAGTTTATTCAACAAGATCCAAGTTGTATGTGATTTAGCACAGTCTGTGTGTGACTTCAGTCTGAACTTAGCTGCTAAGAAATATCTCTAAAGCTGCTGGAAAAGCGAATCGTCTCCAAATCATTAAATGACTTGTGATTTGAGCTTTGAGGTTTCTTACAATTGGTGAGGTTGGTTGAGCTGATCTCTAAAGGGCTCCCATTTTTGCCTCTGAGATTCTCTTCAGTCTGCTATTCTTATTTCACACCACCCCTAATAACTGGTGAAGGAACCAGGTTTGTCCCCAAGTTTTCGTTCCCTCCTACCCTGGTTTCAAACGTCCGTAGAGCCCCTTCACAGCCTCAGGAGCTGAGTAGAATCCAAACGTCTTGGCCACATCTTTGCTGACAAAGACCTAGAAAAAGAGAACCACGATAAAGTCACCACTTTTTGGCCAGGCCTTATTACATATAGTATCTCTGGATGATCAGATAGTGCCTCAGAGGGTTATGAATGAAGAAAATGAGTGTGAGTCTCAAGAGCATTGGGTTGTATTCTGGCCAAACGTTTAGAGAATTACACTTCACAGCTGTAGAAATCCCCCCAGGAATATTACTGTTTACCTCTGTGTGCACACAAAACTCACCTGCAGAAAATATCTGGAAATGAGTGACTGAAACAGTATTTATTGATTCAGAAAGTGAACTCCGAATCCTTACCATGTTTTCCCAAAAATAAGACCGGGTCTTATATTAATTTTTGCTCCTATTAGGTCTTACTTTCTATTTAGGTCTTATTTTCAGGGGAATACGGTATTAAATGCATCTATGCTGGCAATCTTAACGGGTTTATTTTGAGAGTAGGACTTATATTACGAGCATCCTGAAAAATCATGCTTGGACTTATTTTACGATTGGGTCTTATTTTTGGAGAAATACGGTAATAAGGATTCTAACGGGATGCCAATTCATCTTCAGTAGTCACAGGAGGAGGAGGTGGCAAAATCTCTCAGATCTATCCTATGAGAGGAATTTAACTGAAGGACACGTTGCTCTTCATCACTGTGCTTGAGCAGCCACAGTTCCCACCTACATCCACCTGCATTACGCCTTTACCTTTGACCCCTTACCACATCTCCATAGCAAAACAGCTGGTACAGCTGTGGCCTGGTCTTTTCCACCTCCACAGATGTGGTCACTCGCTCAGATGGTGGGCAGGTTTGGTTATACTTTTCCACCAGTTGCAGCATTTTAATCTGTTCCGAAGCATTCCTCCCCTGGGAGAAAATACTACTATTAGTGACACAACCTGAGATGTCTGGATTTGATATTATTCCTGGAATTACTGAAAGCCTTTGTGACCTTAGATGCCTCACCACTTATAGTAGTTGGGCCATCGGTACCTGCTACTTCCAAAATAGATACCCAGCCACTTATGGTTTGGGTAGTGGACTGTGGTGTGTTTGATGATCCAAGAAACTCCAGCAAGTATGAAATACTTTCTTTCTCAACAGCGAATAGACACAATTGGTATGTACTTTGAAAGTTTTGCATTAACTCTTCAGCCTATTGCCAGGTTCATCTCAAGTTTCTAGTTTTTTATTATAGGCTCTATAAACATAAAATACTTAACTTGGTTACCTCATTAACCTATTTTCTGAGTTCACACAATGCACCAAACCATAAACTATCGTATTTTTTGGAGTATAAGAAGCACCAGAGTATAAGATGTGCCAAGATTTTGAAGAGGCAANGAGCTGGTTCCTGCTTATCGGGGCTTTGGAACACGGAACTGGACAGAGCAGAAAGCTCTCCACGGACCAGAACGGGTTAGCAAAAGCCCCCCCCCTCCTTCTCCGCAGTCTGCACCCAGCCGTGTCTCGTTGCTAGGCCTTTCCTGGGGTGAGATGGGGGCGAGTGGGTGGGTGGGCAGCAGCGGCGTACCTGGTATCCGAATCCTCCTCCGGATAATTGTCCACCACGCTGATTATGTCCAGGCACACGAGTCCGATGCACAAAATGCGCTTCTCCTCCATCGGTGCCCTTGAGCGTCTTCTTGGGCTCCTGTCACTTTAGTCTACGCTGGTCCCAGCCGGGGCTCAGCGCTCTTTTCTCTTTTGCTGATCTCACCCCTGGATCATCGGCGGACGCCTCCGCTCGCTCCAGGCACTCACTCGCACAGCCATTGGCAGGAACGCATGACGGTCGGTTCCGATTGGCTCCCTCCGCGGTATGCAAATCAATCAACTCTACCCTTTAGTTCAAAGTGAGTTTTCCCCCTCTTTTTCGTAGAACTCCTCCGCCGCCCAGGAAGTGCGGGTGCCAGTCTAGCGGGAGCCCTGTCCAGTGCCACCTTCCTACCCACCTTTTTCATCTTTGGAGCTCAGCGTCCCACTGACGCTGAGCTCGGTCGCTGAACTCCTGGCGGAGGAAGTGAGGCCGGCTTGAATCGTACCTGCCTACAACGCGAATAGAATAAGAATAGAATTCTTTATTATTGGCCAAGTGTGATTGGACACACAAGGAATTTGTATTTGGTGCATATGCTCTCAGTGTGCATAAGAAGAATAAAATAGAATACATTCATCAAGAATCATAAGATACAACAGTTAGTAATAGTAGATCCTAGGTTACTAATAAGCAATCCAATTATGCTAGGAAAGAAATAAAATATAAATTTTAAAGATACAAGCAACATAGTTATAGTCATAAGTGGGAAGAGACAGGTATTAGGAAATAATAATAATAATAATAATAATAATAATAATAATAATAATAATAATAATAATNCTGAATCCCACCATTGCTATGACCTCACAATAAAGATAATGATAGTACTCGTGGTTTATGCTTCCTCTCTGGGCTACCTTGAAGGGCTGATAGGGACCGGGGATAAGGGGGAAGACTATTTTTTTAAAAAACACATTTTGGTCTCGAACAATTTTCAGCTATAGAAGCGATGGGAACAGATGTCATAACTTGCTTGCTCAGATACGTTGGATGAGAAGCATTGACCTGGAATGGAGCAGTCTCAATCCCTCCGGTTCTGTTCATTACAAATTATAATTTAATGGCGTTTTATGAAGGGATCCTGGGAATCGAAGGCCGTCACAGAGCTTTAATTCTCATAGTGTCATCCAGCTATGCTCTACTTTCCATCATCCCTGTTGGATGGAAGAAACAGGATCTGTGGATCGTTATGTCTGGGTGGCTTTGGGTTGAGAAAAGCATGTTGCATGATTTATCATTGCAACATAGCCATGTTAGATGTTCGTCCTATGGGGAAAAAAACTAACAATAAGAGAGAAATGCAATGTAATCACGTCTGATCCTTTTGGAGCTACAAAGTGATTGTGCAGGTCCAACGTGATGCAAACAGAAGCATTGAAAGCATCCTTGTAGTGTCGTTGTGGCCCTTTGAATTTCTGCAATGAGAAGATATAATCTGGCCTGCAATGCAAACATCCCCATTTCCATTTCCCCTCTTAGTGGGACCAATCTACTCACGCTTGTTTACCATCTCCAAGGCAAAGAGCAATAATACTTGAGGCAAATTCTGTGATGATTAATTAGCCAATGTTTGAACAAGGCTTTCAACACCGAGAGGACATTTACTACACCAGTTAAAGCATTATTAAACAAAATCAGTTGTCACTAATAGGCAGATTAGGCTGATCACTGCGTCTTATTGACACGGGGGACAGTTACAAATAATTGGCTCCATGAAGTCTGGCCCTGGGGATCCACAAGACAAATTAAGGAGCAATAAAGGAGACAAAATATGATGCTGGATTATTGAAATTCAATATTGAATCTGTTTATTGGGCCCTCTGAAGCTCACAACAATTTCCTTTCTGAGATGCGCTTGGTTAGAGAGCAAATAAGTTTCATTGATGTTCTTCCCACTCCTGCATTTTATAATTGCTACTATTAGCGTGTGTGCTCATAAAGAAAAAAAATATTCTGAATGTTCCCATGGCCTCAGTACATTGAGTCTGGAATTAATGGGCTCGCTAGCCGTTTTCCTTCTGCCTACAAGAATTTAGAAGTTCCCTACGTCTAGTTCATCAACAGATTGAAAAGACAGATAACTTCATCCTTGTTTCCTCCTCCTGACTTAAACTAATTTCCAAATTCCAGGAAAAATTCCAAGGAGGTAATTATTTTAGTCTGTTGCATTTCTAAGTGGAATTTCAGCAGCTTCTCTTAGAGTATGATTTCCCTGTTATGGTAATTCCAGTATTATAAATATAAGATGAAAACCTATTCAAAACCTACACAGGAAACTGAAGCAAAAATTACAGGATTTGGAGTTTTTAAGACCTCCAATGGACAACATGATAGACATGAAAATATCCATGATAGAAAGGAAAAGTGGATATTGCCTTTTTTCCCCCTCCCCTTCATTATACTGTTAATATTACAAGATGTTCCATGACAGTTAATAGCAAGTGCCAGTTTAGTAGAGTGGTTAAGGTACTGGCCTAGAGCCAAGGTGGCGCAGTGGTTAAGTGCAGCACTGCAGGCTACTGCTAGATCAGCAGGTCAGCGGTTCAAATCTCACCGGCTCAGGGTTGACTCAGCCTTCCATCCTTCCGAGGTGGGTAAAATGAGGACCCAGATTGTTGTTGGGGGCAATATGCTGACTCTGTAAACCGCTTAGAGAGGCCTGAAAGGCCTATGAAGCGGTATATAAGTCTACTGCTATTGCTATTGCTATATTGCTATAGGAGAAAGTGAGTTCTACTCCATGAAAGCCAGCTGAATGAGTTTGTGCCAGCCTCTCTCTCTCAGCCTAACTCACCTCACATAGTGACTGTTATAAGAGAAAATGAGGAGGGGAGATAAAAGATTACATATGTTTGCCACCCTGAGTTTGTCACCTTGAGGAATAAGGACAGGATAAAAATCTAATGAATAATCATCATCATCATCATCATCGTCATCATCATCATCATCATCATCATCAAATGCCATTAAGGCCAAAATCGAAAAATCCTCTGATGATGCCAAATGCAGACTTTGCAAAGAAGCTGATGAAACTGTTGATCACATACTCAGCTGCTGTAAAAAAATCACGCAGACCGATTATAAATTGCGGCACAATTCAGTAGCACAAATGATCCATTGGAATTTGTGCAAAAATTATAATATTAAGACAGCAACAAACTGGTGGGAACATCAGCCTGAACAAGTCACCGAAAATCAGATGGTCAAGATATTGTGGGATTTCCGTGTACAAACGGACAAAATACTGGCGCATAATACACCAGACATCACACTGGTTGAGAAAAATAAGGTCACAATCATAGACATCGCAATACCAGGTGATAGCAGGGTCGCCGAGAAGGAGCATGAAAAAATCGCAAGATACCAGGACTTAAAAATCGAAATTCAACGACTATGGCACAAACCAGCAGTGGTAATTCCAGTGGTAATTGGCAACTGGGTGCTATTCCAAAAGCACTGGAATTACATTTAAAACAGTTAAAAATTGACAAAATCACCATCAGTCAAATGCAAAAAGCCGCACTGCTTGGATCTGCACGCATATTACGAAAATACGTTACGACGTCCTAGGCCCCTGGGTGGGGCCCGACTAGTAACCAATGCCAAATCCGGCTAAACAACTGGCTGCTGTGATACAATTCTGTTGTTGTGATAATAGTAATAATAATAATAATAAAGATGTGTGTTTCCAACACAGACAGAAGCAGATTCACTCAAAACCCATTAAGAAATACTTCTATATTGTTTTGACTATTTGTAACACTACTGAAGAAAAGCTGTGGTGGCACAGTGGCTGGAATGCAATATTGTGGATTAATTCTGCCCACCGCCAAGAATTCAATCCTGACCAGTTCAAAGCTGACTCAGCTTTCCACCCTTCCGAGGTCAATAAAATGAAGACCCAGATGGTTGGGGGTAATATGCTGACAGTTGTAAACCACTCAGAGAATACTGTCAACATTTTCCTTCTCATTCAAGAAGCTTCATCAGTTCTTGCTGATGGATCCCTCCCCCCCCCCCCCCCCGGATGGTGGGGACCATGAAAGGATTTAGTTCCAATGAATATGTATCACAACTAATCTTTCCATCACTCCCCGCTCCACATTCTGCCAGAACTGATGGAGCTTCTTAGATGAGAAGCAAAACATTGTTTCCTCAAGGAAAAAACAGTTCAAGTTGCCTTTTGATAAGGCCCTTTTGAGATGTCTAAGTGCTATTGTTATTGCTATAAATGGAGCTATAAAACATTTATCTATCGAATATTATTTTAAGAGTGAATTGCCTAGGAAAAATTATAGCAGTCTCCATTAATCTGGATACTTTCTCAATATGTGGACTGGTGACTGGGAAAAATATGGTGACGGGCGGGAAAAAATGCCAAGAAAGATTCCTTAAAGGGGGCAATAATGAAAAAAAGTTGAGAAATGCTAGTCTATTGTATATATCACAGTAAATTTCAACCCGGCCTTAAACAAATTAAAGATGTATCCATATATCTTTACCTGCAACAACTTGATTAAGCTTGGGACAACTTGGGAGATCATTCCAAAGATAGAAAGAATTGTATTACCACATTATAAACTAGTAGGAATTCAGCAGAGGGAGCTAAAATAAATTTCCCCATTAGATATGTTGTAATAAAACCTGTATAGGGAAATATATATAGATATATATATGTTATATTTATGCTGATAAATAAATAAAGGGAGACTAGTATAGATCTNACCCACAATCGCTCGCGCGGCTGCATTCTGGACAAGCTGAAGTCTCCGAATGAAAACAAATGCTGTCGCTTTAAATCGGAACTGAGCATGCCTGGCTGTGGAATTCTGGGAGTTGGCTGGCTCCTATTGGGTTATCCTTGCTCAGATTTAACAATGCATGGCTTTCACCCAGACACTTCAGACCATAACTACTATTCAAACATGCTGATATATATGAGTCATTTCAAAGTTTCACCACACGCAATCATCTTTAAATAATTTACTCCTTAGTCATTGTCTAGTCACATAATGTAAATGGGAATGTGCATGTTTGAGAAATAAAGAAGTAATGGCTCGGGAGGAATAATTGCTTTCATAAACCTGCCAATAAACAAAGTAAGCTAATAAAC